CACACACACACACACACACACACACACACACACACACACACACACACACACACTACTAACAAATACATACGAATGAGCATCATTAAGAGTATAGACGATATGAAGATCAAAAATGAAATGAACGGAAGTATGAAGATGAAGGACAGACACAAAGACTTTATAAGCTGAAGATCTGAAGTGAAATGAACAGGAGTATGAAGCTGCAGAGATGCACAGGAGCATACCTTCCCTTTTACTCTGCCTCCTGAAATAACGTGCAAGTGGGCCGTGAAGGCACACGGGGATGTGGGCAGCTGCCGCTCAACCACAATCAACGTGGACAGCCTTGTGCGTAAGAGGCACAGTTAAAGGGGAGCTGCAAGAACAATGAAAGGGGTACCCCAAGGACAACCAAAAAACTGTCTAATTATAAAATTGCTTTAACACGTTGGACATCTCAAATGCTCTCGTTGTCTGCAATAGGACAAAGACTGCTTTGATTCTGAATCTATTCACCTGGGTGGAATTGGGGATGTTGTGGGGAAAATATAAAACACACACACACACACACACACACACACACACACACACACACACACACACACACACGCATACAGATGACTAAGCAAAGCGGGCGTGGGTGAACGGCTGAAGCTGGCACGGCCGGCCTCGTGGGAATTAGAATCTTTCTTCCTTTCTTTCCCCCCCTTTTTTTCCCTGTCTTTTCCTCTTCCCCCTTCTCGACCTTTTTCTGCTTTTCTTACCTTTTCCTTTTTTTTCCTTTCCTTCCCCCCCCTTTTTTGTTTGTTTCCGTCCTTTTTTTGCTATACGCACTTCGATTTGTCACTTTGTATCGTTTTCTGAGATAAAAATAAGGGGCACTCAGTAGTACCTGCCCCCCCCATAGGTAGGACCAAGGCAGTTCTCGAACCACGGGGAGCTACTTCCCCCGACTCCGGAGATCGGAATAGGCACGGAACGACACGCCCGCGGGTCGGGACAAAATTAAGGCTGGCCAAGTGCGCTAGCCATGGGCCAACGGTGACGATGTTTTGTTTTCTTTCGTGATTTTTTCTTTTTCTTTTTCTTTTTCTTTTTTTTTTCTTTTTTTTTTTCTTTTTTTTTTTTCTTTTTCTTTTTTCCTTTTTGCGACGATTTACGACCGACGGATCGCTGTAATAAACAGAGGGATAGGTGAAGAAGGCTTCCATTAGAAGTACACAGTCCCCAGTGGAGAAGAGACTATATTAGGATTGGGTGCTGGCGGTACTGTTCATCGGTCCACTGTGCAATAACCAGCTCTGACGGGAAGTAGGGCGCGGCGCGTTCCAGTTCTGCGGAAGCTTGGTGTGGCGACGTGCGACATGGATTTGTTCGCCAATTGGGACCAGGAGGAAGAACAGACGGAGGCGGAAGAAGTGGTTACGAGCTGGGCGTGAGGCTCCCCTTTTTTTGCCGCGTTTACCACACCTCAGCTCTGCGCGATGCAAACCGACGCAATGTGCCCCGCCGAGCCTACCTCACTCTGCCCAAGCTCGTTTACACCCATGCTTAGCGCTTGCTTGCGTCAGCTGCTCCTCCTCGCCTTACTTCCCAATCTTGCCATAGCGAGCCTGCTTTTTGCCGCCTGCCTTTCGGAGAGGGTGTTTCTGTGCGTCTCTTCCAGAAGCTTTGCTCTGCTAGTTGCGAGCACCATCTGCTTCATCTCTCTATTTCTGACTTGCTGCTGCTGCCTATTTTTCGCAATCGGCGCTGCTCGCTGACTGGACGCACTGACTAAGTGGCGCGCCATGGAATCAAGGACAGCGACGGGGACGTCTCCTCACGTTTTTTTAGCTTTCTTATCCTTCCTCTCCTTTCTTTTCTTCATCCACTCCCTCCCTTCCCCCCCTCCGCCTGGACTCTGTCCCCCCTTCCCCCCCTCCCCGACTAGGCTGGGGTTGAAAGTCCATAAGTTAGAAGACCCCATAGTGAGTGTCCTCGCAGACAACCGCACTATGTGTGTTGAGGACTACGTAGAGGGAGTCCAGGCGTATTTCCGCCTAGAGAAAGATGGGAAGGTGGAGAAAGCTCTCCATTCCCTGACTCTCCTCGTACACGACGACCTTCCTTTTGATATAGTCCTAGGTATGGACTGGGGAGAGGCAGCAGGGGCCACACTCCACTTGAGAGAGCATGAGTGTAGGCTCCCTAGCCCGTCGTGCGAGATTAAGACTGCCCGTTTGTTCCATGCGTCAGGTATAGATAATACCCTGGCACATTGCTGTCTCAGTGCTTTTGCGTTCGCGCAACTAGTGAAAAAGGAGAAATTAGAGGAGCAGGTCTTCGTAGTTTACGTAAGGCCTATCACTGAGCCTAAGAAGGAGAAGCTCATTGACCCAGCTATTGCCAAGCTGCTGGAACAGTTCAAAGATTTAGCTGAGCCGCCGACAGCGGTAGTACGGCGGCCCATCCAGCATCGCATTGAGATTGAGCCTGGCAATAGGACTCCCAAAGGAGCGGTGTATAGAATGCCCGCGGAGTTGGAGGAGCTACTCAAGCAATTAGACGACCTCCTAGAGAAGGGTTGGATTAGGCCCAGTTCGTCTCCATTTGGAGCACCTGTTCTATTTGTCCCCAAGAAGGAAGGAGAGCTCAGAATGTGTATAGACTATAGTACGGCTAATATAACTACGGGTAGCCCCTGAATCTATAAGGGCTCCTACTCTACTTCTAAAAACCTCTACATCTACTAAAACTAGTTGTCCTTTACTCTCTTTCTTCATCTTGGCCCAGGCGGGCATTCTCTCCTTTATCTCGTCAGCCACGCCTGTGAGGGAGGTGCCTAAAGAGACTCTAACGCAAGCAGTCTCTGGACAGCTGTCTAGGCACCGGCCAGCAACCTCTGCCATAGGCTCATGTGGTGTGGGAGTTTCTTGCCGGCTCGCGCTCATTTCCCCACATGGCCTTATGGTAGGGGCAGTTGCAACCCCTACCGGCGGCTGCCTTTTGCCTGCTGGGCAGCCCATCGGGCCTCTTTATACTTTGGACAATATCGAATGATGTGGCCAGGGTCACCGCAAAATACGCACTGCCCCTGATCCACACGCTGCTGCCAGACGCGCTGGTCCAGGCCCAAATCCTCCCAAGGTCGGCCGTGTGGCAGACCTGGGTGCCAACCACCTCTCCTATAGGGTGACCTATATTACCCCTATTAGGTGAACGGTTACCAGAACGGTTTTGTGGGGGACCTTGACCCCTTCCTCCCGCTTGGCGGTTTCCTCCTCTACCGCCAACCCCCTGATCGCCCTGGAAGCGGCCACCTGAGGCCCGGCCCCCTTGGCCGTGGCCTCCTCCTCTTCCTTGCGGCCTCCCTCCGGCCGCGACAGCAGCGTAAGTCCTCCCCTGGCTAGCACTACTGTCCTCCTTCTCCTCTAGCCCCCACTCTATCTGGTCGTAGGGGACTTCCTCCACACTACCTTCATCTAACGTAAGGAGCAGACGGTCCTTGGTCTTGATCTGCCCAGAGATAGTGTGACCCTTCCACTTCTTCCCTTTGTCAAGGTCCTTGTGCCAGAAAGTGGAAACTGACATGGACCGTGCTTCAAAAGCTACCACTTCCCTGCTCAATGCGTCATAGGTCATGGTAGGTTGCTGGCTCTTCTCGAAGAAGTGCCCGCGTAACGATTCGGGCATCCCCCGGTAGAAGAGGTTGACCAGTTGGGTCTCTGTGACCCCATGGTCAAGAACAGCCACCAACTCGTCCATTACTCCTTTGAGTGTTGTGGCACTCCTCCACTGACGAGAGTGGATAGTCTGCAACTTATCGGAGGCTTTGACACTGCGCAAAACATCTGCGAATCGTTCGCGCAACAACTTAAGGAAATCAGCGAGGGGGGTGAACGCAGAGTAGGCGACTACGTCCTCGTTGCAATTTGCAGCGCGAACGAGGGAACGGGCAAAACTGGTGACTTCCTCTTTTAGCGCGTGAATCTCGACTAGAACATGCTCATCTGGGGAGACCTTTTGCAAGTGCACGTAGGTCTTTATATTAGCCTCCCCGTTGTCAAAGTTCTCCTCCTTCTTTCCACTATAGGAATCAGGGAACTTGACTTTGACGGGCTCCCTATGCGGGCGTACTTCCTCCTCCTTGGGGCCAGTCAGTCTGGCGCCCTCTATGGCACCCGTGCAATAGCGCTCTGTGCTATCTAGGCGGGCCTTCACTTCTGACCCCACCTGCACTACTAACTCTCGCACGAATTTCCTGAATCCCAATCATATCGAACGCAGGGCAATGTCCTGACTTCTAATAAACTGATATTGCTCTTCCCGAGCCGCTGTCAGGCGTTCGATATTCCTCGCCATGATTTCCATCTTACCCAGGAGGTCCACCTGTACCGCCATCTGGTCTTTCTGCATTTTTACTTCCTCCAACTCCTTAGCCGCCTGGCTCACCGCTTCCATTCTCCTTTCCAGTGGCTCTTCTTCTTCCTCCTCCCAGGGATAAATTTGCAACCCACTCTGTAATCTTCTTCTCCAGTTGGTCCTCTTTTGTTCCACTGGATTCCCCTCTTTGCTCCTT